ATTTTGTTTTTTGTTTTTGTTTTTTGTTTTTTTTTAACTTTTATTTTTAAGAAACATGTTTGTTTAGTGTATTTTTTACGTGTTTCTACTTTTTGTTTTTAGAAACACTCAAAACAACTTTTAGTGCTTGTTTGGGAATAATTTTGTTTTTGTTTTTGTTTTTAGTAACATGTTTGCTTAGTATATTTTTTATATGGGTTTATTTTTTGTTTCTAAAAATAATTTAGCATTTATTAAAACACTCAACACAATTCTTAGAAAATTTGAATATTTTTAAAAACAACCATCTTTAAATCAAATAGCTAAACATGTTTTGTTCAAAATCATAACATGAACAAATCAGAATAAAAATAAAAAATAAAAAACAAAAGCGGTCCCAAAAGACCCATTAGGTGTTTTGAGTGTTATTAAAAACAACAACATATCTTAATAGAATATGTCAAACATATTTTTGTTTCAAATCAAAACATAAACAAAATAAAATAAAAAATAAAAGTGATCCCTAATAGCCCCTAAGTAACACAACAAATGAGAATGCTACAAACCTATATATGCATAACATGAATCAAAAAGAAAGAAAAAAACAATAAAAGAATAAATTGGAAAAGAGAAAAGAAGAAGCTTTGACTCACCTCAATGAACGAGACTCGCAGCTGAAATTCAGTGTGATGTTTGAGGTTTTCAATCTTGTGGAATAATGCATTCATAACTTGTGGGATTATTCCAGTTTGAGATCCATCTCTGCCTCCAGTTCCCATAGTGTATGTTTTCCCAGAACCAGTCTGTTTACACCTCAAAAAGTTCAGATTTTCCCCCTTCTCGCAAGGCTTAAATTACACATATATCCACATAGTGCTACTTCAACATTTCTTCAAGAGAATTACGACAGATTTGAGATGAAGAGGACTTAACCTGACCATAAGCGAGGACTGTACCATTGTATCCTTGGAATAAGCTGTCGACGAGCGGAGCAGCTAGTTCTTCAAACATGGCTGCCGGTGGAGAACCAGTGCTGCCGTAGACGTGGTCGAAAGTAAAAGAATGAGTGCCAATTTGTATCTGTAGAGAGAAGAAGTAGATGGAAACAATGGAGAATCACTACTAATCCAGAAGAAAATTGAATCACAATTTTAACAGAAAAATAAGCATCCAACTGAATAATTCACTTGGAAGAGGAAATATAAAGATCAGGTTTTTGAAG